CAGAGCAGAGAGCTGCATCCAGATCCTCTAGCTTTGCTTCTTTTGTCACTGCAGCAATCACTAAAACTCAAGCAGAGAGCATTCCTAGATAACACACGGATACAGAACCCTTGATTAAAATTACACTTCTTCTTAAAATTCATCTTACCAGCAAGATTTGTCCTGCTATGCAGGGCTCACATGAAGGAGGTTCTTTGAAGAACAGCATCACTTTGATACAGAGTCTCTGCACCAGCACACACACACTGCTGGGCTCACTACTTGAACTGGCTGGTAACAGAATGTAAAAGCACGGTAAAGCTCTATAGTGCCTCATAATTTCACACTACTGAGGTGATGACACATTAAAGCAAAAAGCCTTTTTGGAGGCACAAGCAAATGTCTAGATAAAAGGATAAAAAGCTTAATGGTAAAATTAACTCACTCATTTTAAAGGGCTGGAAGTTCAGGGATGAGAATCTCAAGTAACTTTTTTTTCCTGCTTTTCTTCTGAAACAGTCAGATGAGTTCCATGTAGTGTTTTCTCTTTTTCCTTTAACTGTTTTAAAAATAATGCAGTTGGCTATATTGTCACTGAGGACACAGTGGTTTCAGTCCATTCTGATCTCTGGAATTGAGCAAACTCTGTTGCAGACTCTGTTAATACTGCCACCACAACCCTTTCCCTAGTCAGTTCTGTTCCTTGTTGCTAAAAATGGAATCTTTGTGCTTTTGAATATTTTTTGTTTGTCCTCACTGACAGCTGGAACATTTTCTATGAGTGGCAACTGAACGCAAGAAGCACTGACACAGACCTTTTCAGCTGAAAATGTCCTACCTTTACCGGGGCATTTCTTGTTTTCTTTTGCTCTTTGTTTTCTAAAGTAATCAAAAAATGTCAAGCTAGTCTCAGACTCTGAGACTCAACTGGGAAAGCAAATTGTATAAGTCAGAGAGCATTTCCATACCACACACAAAGGAAAGGAATAGTTTATTTGGTGGGTCAGCTCTGCCCCAGTTTTCAAAGATAATGTAGAACTCCCCTGAAAAGACCTCTTGTGCCTTTTTCAAAGGGATGGTTACAGTCAGAAGGACACAATCAAGCTCCCATTTCTGACTTTATGAGTCCTCACACTGATTTGCAGAAAACCTGTAACGTTTTTACCATAAAATCATTTAGCCTTAATGTCCCTTACACAGACCTTTGTGTCTGCATACCAAGACTGATGACTGAACGCATTCTTTTGTCTCAAAATCTGTCCGATTCCTCTTTCTGTTATAATGAAATGTTTTGCTAAGCTATCATTTTTGCCATAAATATATTCCCTTGGCTGTATCTTAGTGGTGGATCATTTGCTATGGGATCTTTTCATCTCAGAGATGAATATACATTTTGGGACCAGCTTTTGAAATATTGATTTGCTTCAGGAAACTTCTTATGCGCAAATCTTGGAAGTCAGCACTGAGTCAGTTTTGTGTATTTTATTTCCCAAGGAATCAGATCTACTTTGTTTGTTATCTAGCAAAGCCCAAAGCATAATGTAAAAACAAAGACTGAATCAGAAAAGAACATTATAAAAATACTGAAGCTGTTTTTCCCAGGCAATAGGGAAATGCATTCATTCACTTTAATATGAAAAAGAAACAGTGATACAATCATTTTAAAAAAAAAAAAAAACCAAAAAACTGAAGGGTTTGAAAATTTATTTCACATCCATAGCAAATTCTCAGCTATTCACACTTATTTCCAAAGTCATTTTGTCCTGCAAGCGCAAAATATTAAAGTATATGATAGCATCAGGATATTAAATTAGATATTTAACCACAATATTTAATCAGTTGTTGTTAACAAACACAGCAGGACTGAATTTCCTGGGAGTTTTATCTCAAGGAATGTGAACACAGCATCCCTAAAGCAAGTTTACAGCCTCCACCCCTCAATAAAAACAGAGCTTCAGAACACGAAGACCCAACACAATGTTTTAGTAATCCCTGGCCCACCCACATCAGATGACACCCACATCAGGCCTTTTCTTCTGAGATAAAAGTACAGTCAGTAGCAATTATGTACACCCTGCTTCCTCTTGGTCATCCATCACACAGTGTGTGTAGAGGTTTCCTTTCCTCAAGTGTCTTTGCTGTGTTACATGTTTATTAGCATCATCTCCTCACCCATCTCACTCAGGAAGGTCATGTCAAACCATCTAAATAAGTTTCAAGAGTCACCTTAGACAGTTGGGGTAACCTGAAACAGGTCTATGTACATATAATCCAAATGGGACATGGACTCTGCTGCAGCAGCATACTGGGGGTAGAACATGCAGCCTTGGGCAGTAGAGATCTGTGTATGCTCCTCCATCACTCCCCTCAAGATGAGCTCTTCCTGTTACCCACAGAAAAGTCATGAACAGCAGTTTATTTTCAAAGTTCAACTGCAGTTTTTCATTAAAGCCCTTAAACCTTAATTTTTTTACTTACACCTCCAAGCTGCAGCTACCAGCTAGTCAGTTCTGAGCATCACAGGTTTTGAATAGGAGAAAAAGAAGAAAAAACTGTCTCCCTTAACAGGCACAAATGCACCCATACAGTTTACTCAGCCAAATGCATTCCTCACATACACAGGTAAAATATCTAGTAGTCATCTTCAGAGGGTTTTCTCCACCAGAATCCAAAATAAAGAAATAGTTCTTCTGTTCTGTTTAAAGGCAGAAGTTTAACCACACTCTTGCAGATTATCTTCTTATGAGATATTTGTTTCTGCATCTAATTCATAAATTTTAGTGTCACAGACTGAAACATATTCGGGTGAGTCTGAAGTGCTAAATCACCAGAAATTTAGGTTTGTACCAATAAAATCCCAGACATCCCAAGAGCAGGTCAGCCTAGCTGTACCTCTCCTGTGAGGAAAGGCTGAGAGAATTAGGGTTGTTCAGCCTGGAGAAGAGAAGAATCCAGGGAGATCTTATTGAGGCATTTCAGTACTTTAAAAGGGCATATCAGAAAGATGGGGAGAGACTTTTCACCAACGCTTATCACGATAGGGTGAGTGGTAATGTTTTTAATCTAAAAGAGCAGAGATTCAGGCTGGACATGAGGAAGAAATCTTTTACAATAAACATGGTAGAATGCTGGAACAAGTTGCCCAGAGAGGTGGTGGATGTGTCATCCCTGGAGACATTCAAGGCCAGGCTGGATGTGGTTCTGAGCACCCTGGTCTAGATGATGTCCCTGCTCATTGCAGGGGGGTTAGACTAAACCTTTGAAGGTCTCTTCCAACCCAAACCATTCTATGATTCTATGATTCTTTACACTTGTAATTACAGACAGACTTCAAACCCACATGCAAGCACAATGTTGAATGGTCTTAGAGATTTTGTTTGAACTCATCTTTTGATCAACTGCTAAAGAGAGAAATGGAACAATATGCAGCCATCAGGTGCTCATGTTAGATGTAAAAAGTTTAGGTATTCTTTGAAATTCATGTTAAATGTTCAAATAAAGCAGCTTTATCTTCCAACTCTTTGAAAATAAAGTTACTAGTGTAAAGGGCACACCCAGTTCAAATTTGATTCCTAGATGAACCCATTGATAGTGAAGGCATTCCAGATCCTTTAATTATTTTTATAGAAAACTGTACTTAATTACTTCTTAAGCACTTAAATCTGCATAAAGTTGCATTACACTGAATATGTCAGCATTTAAATCCATTACCTACATATAAATATGTATCAAATTTGCATTGCAAATGTCTTCATCATCTGCTTTGTTAATCACAAATGTCATAGCTAAATGAATCCAAAAAGTGCAATTCTGACTTACTTATCAAATAGTTCTTTATTAAACAAAATTTATAAGACATAATAAGATAGTAGAAGGAGGTCCTCAGAGAAGTATAAATTATTGCCAAAGTCAACAGAAGGACTCCACTGAAATGAGCTGTCTGACCCAAGGACAGCTGCTGTGACAGACTTCAAAAATACATGTTTTAGTACTAGAAATCCTACTTAAAAACATTCTCTTAAAGGGTTACCTGGAATTAATAAGTGCTGATTTGACTGCTCAAGTGATGAGCAGAATACATTAAACCTGTTTTACGGTGACTAGAAAATTCCTATTAAAAGATCTAAGCTGGTTGTCTTAGATGGAAATGCACATTAGTTAATATACGTAATGAATATCTGTGTTCAACAGCACTGTTTCATTTAAGTTCATCTGAAGTCAAGTTAATAAAAGGTTTATTTAACTAAATGCACCTTTCCATGTTCTGCTTCCAACTGAACAGTCAAACATATAGAGGTTCTGCTCAATATTTTTACAGATACCAGTCTCAGACACAAAAAAGGATCAAACTGAGTATTTATGTCATGAAACTATCAGTGAAATTATACTATCCATTACTACTGTATAAAAAAACAGGAAAAAGTGTTCTGAATTAGCTCTTCTTTGGTCACTTATCAGTGTTGTGACATGCACACTGTTAAAAGCAGGTTCCAGGTCTTTAGCAGTGAAAAATAAATGCATGGCTGCAAAAACTATTGAATTCTGCACAGTGAATAGACAGGCATCAGGCTGCTCAGTCTACATGTTCAAATAAGTCTTGTGAACATGAAGCAGCCTGAACAATATCAGGGCTTGGCTTTTGTGGGTGTGATGCAAGATATAAGCAGGAACACTTGATCCTCCAATGGGCAAGTGGGAATTACACAATCACATTGCCTGGCTTGTTTAATTATACTTTACATTAGCACAGTGCTTTAAAGTGCATAAAGACAGATGGTCTATTCTGAATTTTATAGAAGAGTAGATGCTACCTATAGAACAGGAGAAGCCATAAAAACCGAGACAACGCAAGCAACGGGAAGATAACACGTTCATGGCAAAATCTGGTGAAGTGATTAAAATTTTTATTTTTTCATGTGCTAGATTCTGTGCCCTCAGAAGAAATAACAAGGATACATCAACTCCAAAAGCATCAATGAAATCCATAGTCAATCACACAGGCTTCTCATGGGAAAGCATGATCATTTGTGTGCCGATATTGGAAGTTAGATCGCTGGCAGCTCCTCCGTTCATTCAGCAACTGCTTCAGCCATGCTGCCAACTCCATTCTGCTCACTACTGTCCTAAAGCAGTCCCTACAAAGACTTTACCTTAGAGTAAAATGCACCGCTCTCTTTATACATCATGGGTTTAGAGGAGGGTAATGGTGCTACTCCACAGTAGCTGCCTGCCTTCCAGTCCAACCATATGTTGTTTGTCTTCTCCGAGAGACTTCTGGCTGCTGCTGTTCCCATGCCGTTCTTCATTCCCATAAAATCGTTAGATTTTTCTTCTGACTGTGCTCTAACATAATGCCCGTGTAAAAACATGCCCTGTATTCATGGCAGAGAGCAGATGTGTATGGCAATAGTAAACAGCAAATGAACTAAATTGCCCCTCCATTACAGATTCACAGTTTAATTAGATACTGAAGTCGACCAGTACATATTGACATACTAAGCAGAAAGATTACATGCAGCAACTACACATAGGCATGCACACTTGCGGATGGCCCTCCTGAAAAGTTAGGTTTGCGCAAGCTGTGACAGGAAAGCGATGGATACTTGGATTTTAAGGATGCATCAGCCCAGCACCAGAAGATAGAGTACATAGCTCCTGCAATGATGAGAAGTGCACTGCTCACCCACCCCACATATAGAGCAGCTCCTAGCTCTCGTTTCAATGATGTAGGGACATTTGGATCATAGAAGTCACGAATGATGCTACCTGCACTCCAGGACACGGGGATCAGAACAAGGATACCCGTCAGTAGGAAGGAAAGTCCAGCTGCCAATATGAAGATACTGATGGCCTTGTTCTTGCGAGTGTACTTCACACCAACAATGGCCAACAAAAAGGAAATGATTGACAGGACCACTGCAGTGCACATGAGGGCTCTGAATGCCTCCAAGGGTGGGGAAAGAGACAGGATAGAGTCATAGAATTTGCACTGCAGCCTGATGCCCAGCTGACTGGCGCAGGCCATCCACAGTCCTTCCCAGATGGTCTCAAACACCACAATATTTCCGTCAATGTGGGCAGAAACTCTCCACTGTGGCATAAATGTGGCTGCCAAAGTCCCAACCATGCCGATACCTCCAAGTATTAGACCAACGATTTGTAAAACAAAGTAAGCCATGCTTCTTCTGAAAAAGACACCTCAAGCAAAGTGGCCTAGGAGATCTTCCAAAATCACTTTTTCATAGAAGAAATATGAAGTATGAAAGGGAATATTTTCTCCAGTAGTTTCCTCATAAGGCAGGTCCTTAGAGTGCTTTAAAAGCAGCTTGCTCCAGTCTGAGGTTCAAACAGGTAGAAATCCATTTATGACTGGCTAAGAGGACCTGATACTCATTTGCTTTTAAATCCCCTCTGAATACAGCACCTACCCATCAAGCCTAGCAAGTTTCCATCCAATGGGAAACCAGGAGGGGTGTGTCATAGTTGATTTTACTGCTTCTCATAGTGTGTCTGTGGTGCTGCTATAATTAAGTGTCAGAGATTCAATTAAAGGTACCTAATTGTAGCAACAATAATTTCTGAACTGCAAGTTTGCAGCTTTGTTGAAATCTAGAATGAAAGACTGAACTTCCATCTGTTACAATATTATGTAAAATAGGCCATTACAGTTGTTCTTATGACAAAAGCTAAACTTGAACATGGAGTGGGACTTACTTTCTAAGTGTTACAGCCCTGCAGACACATCCGAATATTTTTTTTAATCAAGCTAGGAGGTAGTTGGTATAGCTCTTTAATGTAGATTCCTCATTTTGATCAAATACAAAAGTATAATCATGATATTAGACAGGTACAGGAAAGTCAAGTATTCCAATCAACATCAAAGCTTTACCAGCTGCATAATTCACAAGGACGACAAAGAAAATGGCTGGCAGAGTTTCACAGCTTCTGCTTTTGAATCCACAAGTAAGGTCGCTGTTAGGAAACAATCCTCTATGAGGCTCTCCCTGTTAGGAGGATAGTGTTCTCATTATGTTTCGTACTAATAGTCTTCTCCAGGTGACATTAGGAAGGGTTGGGGGCAATTGTCTAGTGCAAAAAGGATGAGCTTTTCTTTCACTGTACAATGCAGCTTGAAAGAAGTCAGAGATCCCTCCCACAGGCATATCTCTCAGACTGCACAGATCGCTACAAGCCTGGACAAAAATGCATGCAAAAGACTGATTTGCCTTGGGCAAGTTAGGAATAACTGCTGCATTATGGTTTTTGTACTTCCTTCTCCCTACTTTGAGACATCACTATATGATGACAGCTCCTGGGTGTTGTTGAAATGGATGTGTTTCTGGTTACTCCAGCTCTTTGAATCGATGTGGGTTAGTAAAATAAAAAAGCTTTGGCACTCAAAGGCCACAAAGACCTGTAGAAGTGCTGTTGAAGAAAGACATATTCTTCAATTGCTTGTGGGTTGTAGCATTGTGGGCTTTGTGTGTTTGGAAATATCAGACATTGCCTTCGATGGTATTAACTTAGTTACAGCCTTAGGTGACTACATAACATATACAAGGCAAAAGCTAGAGCCCATGAAAAATGAATTGCCCACCTAAACCACTCACAGCCCACAAAATCTCCTTCTTCCTTTCTCTAAAGAAGGTATGTCAGATAGTGCAAGTTATATGGTATAAGGTTAAATGCCCATGTGGAAAATACTCCCAAGGCATCTGGGCATGTCATTTTTGCCTTCAAGTCTTCTAGCAGGAATCTGGAGAATAAAACTCTCTTCAGCTAAGATGTAAAATGTAACCTTTAGAAACTAAATACATTATCAGATTTGTTCTTATAGGGAGATGAATATTGCATCACTCTTCTGCAGACATAAAAAAGAATCCCATGATGCAGAAAAGTGGAGGCATTTGGTACCATGAGGAAGGAGGTGGTAGCGATGAAATTAGAACTCACAGATGGCTACCTGTCTGAAAGAAACTTTCTCTGGCAGGAGACTGCTCCTTTATAAGATGACTGCATACAAGACCTGTGTTATTCAACATGAGCACAGTTTCATTCATCCTATAGGGCATTTTTACCTCTGAATTCTCAAAACTGTTTTTTTATTTGCTATTCTAACTTGAAAAAAAAAATCAACTTATTATGAAAAAGCCCTCTCAAAACTAGCATTTGAATGTTGTTTTTTCAACAGAAAAAATCAGTGTAATATTTTAAGGCAGCTGGCTCTTGAAGGTGTACACAGCTGGAGAACAGATCATGCCTAATTCCCTGAATCTATTTATCTGACTACCTTATCTAGCAGGATTGCTCTGAAGTCATTTTTTCTTACGTGACTCTGGGAGGTTCAGCCATTGAGGTCATGCATAAAATTACACTATGTGACAGTCAGGGCATAGTTTTTATAGAAGACAAACTGCTCACAGAAATACTATTAAAATGCATCATATGCTGATTGTGTAATAATATTTCCAGACAGTGCTAAATGGTTGAGTGATTTTTTGATCTTTAATCTGAAGTTGTACCTATGGTGAGTGACATCCCGTGTACGTGTAGGACTGAGAGAGAAACACCCAGGCTATACTGCAGCATGTATGGTCCAGTGGCAGGATGTTCTTGTTATTGACGCCTGTCGAGAAGGAAGCAGGAAAAGAAAACCAGTAAATGGCAGATCTGAAACCTAAACATAAACTTCAGAAATGAAAATGAGTTGCAGGAGATAGGTTTATTAAAAAAGTCAAGAAACCCTACCAATGCCTTGGAAACTCATGAGGACTGGAAAATCTCATCAGCCTCTTAGATGCCAATGAGTCCCTGGCTTTGCTAAGTTCTGGAAGAATTATCTGTTGCAAAAAAGTCCTGCTCTTGAATCAGCTCAGAGGAAGCTCTTACATTCTCATCTACCTCCATTTTAAGGCTCACCTCACCTCTCAGAAATAAGTGCTTAGTTGACTGAGTTACTTCAAAATCACTCTGAACAGTAGACAGCTCTTAAAGGAAAAGTTAAATATATGCTTACATTGTGGGCATACCAGAGATAATGGCTTTGGTGTCAGGTAAGAAGAAATAAAAGGAAAACTCCATTTACACCTGACTAGAATTTAGAAGGCCCCTCATCTGTGTATCATCCATATATTGTGCTGTTAGGATGCTTACCGGCCTCAAGGCAAGAATGCCAGTTCTTATGCAAACATGCCCACCCCAAAATTTGCCTTCAAAGAGGAAAATAGGCAACTGAGGAAGCGCATACTCTTTACCCCTAATCTCTCCATGCATCTCTGTTCACATTTGCGTTTTTAATTCCCTTAAAATCAAGATCTTCATTTGAATCTTTTGGCAATATCTTTTGGTCCCTCCCTAGTTTTAAAAAGTCTAGTGTCCTTTGAAGAGGAGGAAGTAGAGCATCTCCAGTCCACACGATTAACAGAACCTGTCAATGATCCCCAATGATTAATTATAGGTGTCAATAATGCAAACATTCAATTTACTCCCAGAAAGCATATATCATTCCTCTTTGTGTATCTTCTATGTACACTGAATTTTAGAGTGCTCATGCATACACATGCACCTATACATACACAAATATACTTTAATCTTGTTGTATTCTTGTTGTAATCTACAGTTGCACCAATGCATAACTATAGTGTACACATTTCATTATGAGCTCTCATTAAGAATAGGCAGGTTCGTTATGCTACAGGCTAATGAGCCAAATGTAAGGTTCGGTAACATTTTCTGAACAGGCAAATATGCAAATTTATCAAAAACATGCATTAAATTAGTGATCACTTATAGCTACAGTAAATCCTCTTTGCTTCCCAAGGCTGCAGATACCCAGTAATGTTGAAAGCTGCCTAAGCACCTGCAGAGTCTGGCAATGGGGAATCCAGCAGGCTATGGATCTGCAGTCACTCTGCCTCCTGTCTCCTTGGGCAGAGGTGCTGCTGTAAGACCTAGATCACCCTTTACATGTAAAATTAATTTTAAGCTTACAACAAATAGGGCTGTGATTTTCTGCAGATCATTTGTTTTGGAAACACATGTGAAGAGCACCAGTTCCACCCTGCCTGGGGCTTCTACCATTCCATTCATGACATGCTGGATTAACCTCTTCAACTGTCTGCAAGGGCTGGTCAATGAAATTATAGTCAAGTTAATGGCTCCAATACTTTCTGTCATATTTTGATTGACTACTGTATTTTGTACCTACTGGTGAATTGAAAGGTTACTTTGATTCTATTTTAGTTCAGGAGAAAATGGACCAAAGCCAAAAAAGGCCTTTTTATTTGTGCTAATTTTAATATTGCTGACTGCACGTATGTTAAAAGATGAAGGCATATCTGCCCCCTCTCTTCAAGTATGGCACATTTCAGAGTGAGAGGAACATCTGCTCAGCGTAACCTAGACAGGGACTACCCCCAGACACATAACAGGCGTCGTACTTGGGCATTGACCTCTAACTCTAGCTTTGAGGCAATTCATGACTGACAGCTGAATTGAAAAGAGCTAATATTTATTTTCCATCGTCTTCCTCAGCATGCCTGAAAGTCACAGCCTGACAAAACTGCCAAACTCTTAATGATATTCCGTGTCTGAGGAAGCCTGTCTCCTGAACACGGAGGATGAACTCGAGTTCAGTCTAATAAAACCCTATAGTAATAAAATATTAAATACTCCTTTGAGTATTTAATCCATCTAAACCGCTTCAGGCTTTTACAAGGTATTTGTCACCTCAACACTTGCGTACAGGGAGAAGCCATCCTGATAGAAATAGAACCTGCCAGAAATGATGCTATCTTACTTTGCTGTTTAATGACAGGACCTCAAAGGATATTTGTGGGAGTGCATTTGATTGCACAGTTCACATTAAGCTGTTGGAAATAAAACAGTGGCAAATTCCCAAGGTAGTATTGATTGCTTTCATAAGGGTTAGCAGCACAGTATACAGTTAGGCTGCTACTGGATGAAGCACAGAGGAATTTCTTTATTTACATGATTTACTGTGATGGAATAGAAGAGGAGAAGAGCGTATACTGTGGCACTGATGGCCTAAAGATAGATGAGAGGCAAGGTTTTTAGAAAGAGGTAATAGCTTTTATTAAACTACCTGATACTGTTAGAAACAAGCTCTTAGGCTCAGAATCCCAAGAAAGATTGCTTTTGGAGCACAGCATAATAATGCACCCTTGGGCTAGCTTCCAGTAACCAAGCAGTGCAGGTAGATAAACAGGCAAGTTTCAAACTTTGTAGAACAGGGTCTTTTTACATCTTTCTCAGTCAAAATTTGGACTCTTCCCTGTCCAGTCCTGTCCCAGTCACTTTTTTGTCCACTCCCAAACCCCACACCCTGAATGTAACTAACTAGCTACACTTAATTTTCTCCTGCAAAATAAACTGCAGCAGCAAGAGCTCCACCACCATTAGGCTTAACCTTGCACACCCAAGACACCCCAAAACCTGTCATCTAGGCACATGGCTGGGTCACCCTTTAACCCTACCCTCTCCTATCTACCCAAATCCTTCTGAACTTCCTTGCTTCTGGCCAGGATGTTTCATTGTTCCTCTTGCTCTGCAACTAGGGTTCAGTTCTTCCCTGGGATGCCCTTACTGACTTCCCCTGGCTGCCAGGCTGGGGGACCCCTAGGAAGTATCAGAATAGCCCCTGCCCTCTGGATCTGCATAGCTGGCAGAATTCATCACCCAGCATCCCTTCAAACAGAGGGAGAGGATGCAGAGGAAAGGGGAAGTCTCGCCCAGCCAACCAAATGCTCCCTGCACCCACACAGAAAAACCTGTTCATGGAAGTCATAAATCACTTTGGATTTGTGCTGGCACAGAGACTAAAGCAGGAGTATTCCACAGGAAACAATTTCTGTCATTCTCAGAACACGCTCTCTAGCCCAGTGAAATCACAGCAGCTCCAAGGATGCACCACTGTCACTGTAATTTGCATGCTGATGCATCTTCCTGGGACTGATGTGTCTCTGCACAGTGACATCCTACAGCCTACAAGGATGATTCACCAGTGTGGACATGGTGTTTTCCCCAGGGACAATCCAACGCTCTTCCTAATTGCAGCATACTATGTAGCCAGTCAATATAGTAACTTCTTTCTCCATTATCAAGCAGTAACTGCTTTCATTCCAGATATGAAATGTGTAGTTTACCACTGAGTACAAT